GGGAGAGTCAAATATGCCGTGGTCGCGGTAGATTACTTCACCAAATGGGTGGAAGCAGAACCGCTAGCTGCGATCACGACCAAGAAACTCAAAGACTTCATTTTCAAGAATATTGTGTGCCATTACGGAATTCCTCATACCTTCATCTCGGATAACAGAAAGCAGTTCGACAAAGAGGAGTTCAAGCAGTTTTGCGATGAGCTAGGCATCCATAAAAAATTTACCTCAGTCGCAAGACCACAAGCAAATGGTCAAGTTGAAGCTGTCAACAAAACTATCAAGCACACTCTAAAGGCCAAGCTTAGCCCAGCCAAGGGGAATTGGGCCGACGATCTCCCCGAAGTCCTATGGACATACAGGACAACTCCGAGAACCTCTATCTCAGAAACCCCTTTTTCGCTAACATATGGTTGCGAAGTGATAATCCCTGTGGAGGTAGGAATTAGTTCACTTCGGAGAGACTTATACAATGAGGCCGACAACAAAGCGCTTATGAGAGCAAGTCTAGACCTTGTTGAAGAACATTGCAGCAAGGCATCGCTAAGAATAGTAGCCTATCAGTGACGCATGAAGAGGTTCTTTGATTCGAAGTTCAAACGAAGAGACTTCCAGGTCGGTGACCTTGTATTGAAGGAAGTTCTTCTTGGTACAAGGGAACCAAGTGTGGGAGTGTTAGGACCGAACTGGGAAGGTCCATACCGTGTCGACAAAGTGATAAGACTAGGGACTTATCATCTCAAAAGGCTGAATGGTTCCAAAGTACCCCGAGCTTGGAATGTTGAGCATCTTCGACCTTACTATCAGTAATTCCGAACTCAATTTTCCTTGTAAATTAATTTTTGATCTTTGTAAATTATTTCCTTGTAAAGTATTATTCTGTTCGCTTGTAACAATCTTCGCATGTAATCTTGTTCGTATAAATGTGTTATCATGTTCGCATAGACTTGTTCCAATATTGTAGACCATGTGAACTCTATCTATAATAAAGCGAACAAAAATTGTAAAAGCAAAATGTATTTCATTAATGTGAAGAGTACAGCAGGCAAAATGGTACGAGTGTTAGCCCTGATTTAACTCCTAGAGGAACGACCTTATTATCCTAAGGCTGGTCGGCTAGGGATCTTCGGGCGGCCGCCGCTTCATCATCCTACCACGCCATGGACCTAAGAGTCTCCTACCAGTCCTCCGGGAGGTCGGACATATCAAGGAGCGGATTCTTCAGCCGCAAGGCATAGATGGACTCAATCGCCCATTCGGCAGACTTCTCCTCGACCTCCGTTGCCTGATTCTGCATCTCTTCGGTCAGGGAAGCAACTTTTCCCTGATTCACTTGGAGTTCGGCCTCAAGAGCTTGTCTTTACTTCTCGGAGGCATCCCTCTCTTGTTCTGCTCGTGAAGCCCGCATAAAGGTCGATTTGAGCTCCTGGTCCTGCTCTCCAATCTCCTTGGAGAGTATGGCTATGGTCCTTTGAAGCTCTTTTACTTCTTCCACATGCTTCTCGAGCTCGGCTTTTTGGAAGTCCACTGTGCGAAGAGCCGCGTCCCTTTCGCTCAGGTATCGGTTCGCTGACTCAGAAGATAGGTTTCTTTCTGCCTCAGCGGCTTCCAGGCCTCGCTTGAGCATTGCGTTCTTTTCCTTCAGTGCGACCTCCCCCTTTACAGCTCCCAACCGAACCTTCTCCAGGGACAGTTGCATGGAAAGCAGGGCCTGCGAACAAGAAAAGATAAAAGTCAGCTTATCAAAAGAAACTAAGGGAAGTCCTTGCCAAGGACAGTTCGTTCACCTTACTTAAGTGCTGGACCAATGTGGACATTAGGTCCATGTCACTGGAACCTATGAACTGCTCGAATGCTTCTGAGAGTTCGCATTCCAGCAAACTGTAGACTATCGGCTGCAGGTACTCCGGCAGGTTCCCCAGCGAGTCCAGCACTGGAGTTTCCTTCTTCGCGCTTTCCACAAGGGTCGTGTCGCCCGTCGGTTCCTTACCCGACCTCCTCTCGATGTCCGGTTGTGACCTCTCGGGTTGATCACCCTAGGATTCGGTCTCTGACTCTTCGACCTGAATTTGCCTTCTCTTCTTTTTCGCTCGTTGAGCCGTTGTCTTTAGCCTCAGGTGAGCAGCCGATGGCTGGGAAGTTTTCGCTAGTCGGATTGGTCCGTCCTCCAAAGGTTGACGCTAAGAAGTTCTAGCAGGTCACACCGGGGGGTCCGATGTGGCACCTTCAGCCGAGGGATTGGCAAGAGTAGCATCGGTCACCTTGGCGGTCCTTAACAGCGGAAAGTTGAATTGCCTTCGTCACAGCGGCTCTGACTCCTTCGGAAGCATGGTCACTGCATGCAAGCATCATTAGCAAAAGTATTTCATTTCACGACCAGAAGAGATCCAGTTAACAAGTCTTACTCAATGGGGGCTCTAAAGACGCGTTTGCATTGAAGAAATCATATTTTCACAGATTCGTAGTCTTCACGAGCTTTTTTGCATTGCGACTGCCTTCAGGCAGGAAGCCGAAAGATACGATCCTATCTGGATCGAAGAGCAGCCCTAGGTCGATTGTCTTGTTAACTGCCAGAAAAGAAACAGGTCATTAGAAAGATAATGCATTCTAAATTTTATGAGTTCGCCAAGGAAAAAGAGCCTACTCGGGTTTTGAAAGCGGCAATGGCCATCGCAACGAAAGAAGAAAAACTTCGTTTCGTAGGCCCCCGCATTGCTAGGGTAGCTATGTATCCCCTCGGCTATAGTAGGTCGCTTGCACAAGTAATAAGAATCCTTGTCCTTGCTTTTTTTTCAAAAAATACGAGGAGCCGAGCTCCATAGCGGTCAGTTCGCCGAGCCCGTTCTCGCGACACGCGATATACATGGCAACAGCCATCACATACACGTTCGGCGTGAGCTGCATCGGTGCGATCCTGAAGTGATCCAAAAATGACCTGATAAAAGGGTGGAAGGGGATCAACCCCCCACCCTTGATGATCTCCTCGGAGATCGTAGCCATCCCACTTGATGGGTGTCACGACGAGTGGGCCACATCGCGAAAAACTTCCATGTCGATACCATACTGTTTTATTACCCTCTCGAGCTCTTCCCTGGTAAGTACGGAGTAGACCTCAGGAGTGACACTCGGAGCACCCTGAGAAGACGAACCGGTTCCTTCCTCGGATTTGGTCATTGAGGGGTCCATTCTACTGGTCTGTAAAAGCGACAAGCAGGGGGGTCATTTAGCCATCGTACTATACTCTGTATGATGACGTGGAAGAAAGCAAACTCCCTAAAACCTAGAGAAAACCCTAACAGAATGATTCGAGCCACCATTCATGGCTCGAACCCGACATGAGCATCTCGTCTCCAATGAGTTACCGGAAGACTAACGCCATTTACCCATCGTGGAAAAAAGAAAACAAAAACAGAGAAAGATTCTTACCTCTCGGAGTACGAAAATAGCTTCTACTTCAAATATAGGAAAAACGCTGGTTTGGAAAACAAAGGTTCCAAGCTTGCGAAAATCTCTTGCTCTCTGTGAAAAAGACGAGTGTGGTGACATTGCCTGAGAAAGATCTGAGTTTTTATAGTGCATGAAATGACGTCTGTTTTTCTCGGAATCAAAACAACGTTTGGGCGGCAAAATTTCTCACCGTTGATCACGACCACATATCACAAATCAGTGAGGAAGAGTGAGCGTCACGATTAAAGAAAAATCAAATCTTCATCTTTTCTGTTGAAAAACTCAAGCCACGACTCTCTCTCTCTCCCAGCATTAATTGCGCCCCAATCTGCATTTAATATTGTGATAAGGGTTATCGTTTCAGCATGTCACACATTTAATGTTCTGATAAAGTGGTACCATGTCAGCATACAACGCATTTAATGCACCTGGTTGGCACTTATCACGGACAGGACACATCTGTCAACGCAGAGACTGCTTCATTAAATGCATCCATCCCTAAAGCACAACAAATAACGCCCGACAAAGTCAAGTCGCTCATCCTCTGCAAACAATGACCATGCGAGGTCGTGTTCGCAAAAAGTGCTACCCCGACCTACTTTCAAACAGGTCGAAATTTCCAGAATTTCCAGAAATCATCCAATCATGACATGGCTTATAGTTTCCAAGGTTCGATCCTCAAACCTTAAAAACTAAGGGACTTCTGTTATGCCTGAAAAATGTAAGGCTGACGTAAGGTCCAGTCGGTATGCAAAAGTCAGAGCATGGGTACACCCACTGCCGAGTCACGTAAGGAAAGGGACAGCTTGCTTCTGTCAAAACAATAGGTGCGCGCCAGACCAGCCAGAAGCTATGGTGATCCCACGTGTCCAATCCCTGCTCCAAATCGCGTAAATCACTCTAGAAGGTGGGCAATGTGACATAAAGAAGGATTTACACGGATAATCCCATCAACTCACAGATTCAATAATCATTAGCTCAATGTATCCCACTATAAATTGAGAGCTCATCTCTCATTCAAGGGATTTGCTCATTTTTACTCTTGATTAGCCTCTCACTCTGTCTCTATAATTTATAGCATTCACTCACTTGTACTATCATTTGTAAGTCAGTCAGCTAATGCGACCTAACTCCTATCATTAATAAAATCACAGTGGACATAATACTTTCTTCCTTAGCATCCGAACCACTTTAAAAGTTGTTCCCATTCGTATTTACTGATATTTCCTTATATTCACGTGTGTCTTTTGGGCCAGCTCAGTATTTTACACGTGCGTTTCGTTGGTGTAAAAATCACGCATCAACAATGTTCAATGTGGAAAAGATGAAAAGTTGAAATGAGTGAATCTCCTGCAGCCTTTCAAAATTTCAAAAAGTTTGCAGTGTGTGTTCTTTAGTGATGGAGGATCTTGTATCAAGTCTTCTTTAAGTCAATGATACAGTAACATTTCATCCCACACTTCTTATAAAATTACATATCCAAACTCCATGATTCTCATTATCTCATTTACCTATTCAACATAACTTGCCATTTTCTCTTGATTTCTAAGAGAATAATGGGATTCAAATTTCATTATAATCAAGTTCTCTGCCTCCTCTTCTTGTTCTTGTATGCTCGTTTTGAAGTCAATTCAACAGTCATATGCAATCCCAAAGAGAGTCTTGCCTTGCTCCAATTTAAGAACACCAATGCATTTAATGTTACTGTGTCTTCTTCTGCTGAAGATGTTTGTACTCCTCAGACACTCTCTTGGGTGGAGCGTACAGATTGCTGCTTTTGGAAAGGAGTAACATGTGATAATGCAACAGGTAATGTAATTGGCCTGGACCTCAGTTTCAGTTGTTTGAGAGGTACCATCCTCGACAACAACACTCTCTTCCAACTTTCCCACCTTAAATGGCTCAATCTTGATTATAATTTTTTTGACGGTTCCCCAATGTCATCTGTGTTTGTTTTGTTAAGAGATTTAACGCATCTTAACCTTTCTACTTCCGGATTTTCTGGCCTAGTACCTTTTGAAATATCTCACCTATCCAAATTGGTTTCACTTGATCTTAGTGATAATCTTGAATCCCGCTCGCTGAGATTTGAGCCACAAAATTTTGAGTTGCTGGTGCAAAATCTTACAAAATTAAGTGCTGTTCGTCTTACCCGTCTTGATATGTATTTAGTATCTATCGAACTTATCTTCTTCGATTTCATCTCTCTCACTCGACGGCACTACAATGCATGGGAAAACCCCAGCGAATGTTTTTCGCCTACCAAACCTTCACATACTCCGTTTATCTGATAACAAAGATCTAACGGGGTTTTTTCCGCAGTCCAATTGGAGCACTCCACTTAGGTTGTTGGATCTCTCTTACACAAGTTTCAAAGGAGAAATACCGGATTCAATTGGAAACTTAAAATTCTTGGAAGGAATATTTCTTCCAAGTTGTTCTTTCACAGGGCCAATTCCAGCATCATTTGGGAACCTCACTCAACTCACTGCTTTGTGGCTCGATGAAAATGCTTTAACCGGTCAAGTCCCATCATCAATATCAAAGCTAGAGCAGCTTACTTATTTAGAACTTTCAATCAACTCGTTGGCAGGTCAGATTCCAAATTTTGGTAACCTTAGTAAGCTGACATTTTTAAGTCTTTCATGGAATAATTTTAGTGGTCCCCTCCCTTATCATGTGAGTCGTCTTCCGTATTTAACCGACATAGACTTGTCTCATAACTTTCTCAGTGGTAAAATGCCATCAGAGTTGTTCAGTTTGCCATCTTTGCAGAGTTTACAACTCAATGATAATACATTCTCCGCTCCTATTGACCAATTCGAGCCGTCTAATTCATTGTCTGATGTTGATTTGAGTAATAATAAGATAAGTGGTTCAATTCCAAGTTCCATGTTTAAACTTGAGAAACTTCTCTTTATCTTTCCTCAAATAACTTCAGTGGCACTATCCAATTGGACATATTACTGCAACTACATACCTTCGGGGGATTATTCTTTCATATAATAGCCTATTATCATTAAGTTCCAACAAGTGTGTCAAAAATACCTCATCCCTTCTTGAATCATTCCTAATGTCTTCTTGCAACATAAGTGAATTCCCAAGTAACTTGGGAACCTTAGAGGGTTTGAATGATTTAGATCTTTCCAACAATAAAATTCGCGGTAGGATTTTGAAATCTGAGTCGAGAGGATTTAAGAATTTGTTTTCTCTGAATCTTGCCAACAATTTCCTGACATATATAGAGGACCACCCTTGGAGAGATATTCAAATTCTTGATCTTTCAAACAACATGCTCCAAGGATCACTTTTGGCTCCACCACCTGGAACACATATTTTCCTAGTTTCTAATAATAATTTGACTGGGTTGATTCCTCCATCTATTTGCAATTTGAGTTCCCTTGAGTATCTTTCCTTGTCTAATAACAATTTGAATGGAAGAATTCCACAATGTTTCAGGAGCATGGGGCTTGTTATGTTGCACCTGCAGAAGAATAAACTTCACGGTAGCATTCCTGATACGTTTACAAATGGAAGTTGGTTGGTGAGTCTTGATCTAAATGGTAATGAGTTGGAAGGGCGTTTGCCTAGATCCTTGGTAAATTGTAGCCAACTGGAGGTTATGAATGTAGGAAATAACAAGATAATTGATATGTTTCCTTATTGGTTTGGAACTCTTCGGAAGCTGAAAGTTATTGTCTTGAGGTCTAATAGATTTTACGGTCCCATACAGGATTCCAAAACTCTATTTCATTTCTCCAACTTGCAGATTCTAGACCTCTCTCACAATGAATTCAAAAGTTTTTTGCCCAGAAAATTGTTTGAAACTTTGGGAGCAATGATGCATGTTTCCAATAATGAAACTGGAGTCTATTATATTGGAGATGAGTATTATAAAGATTCCGTAGTTGTGACAATGAAAGGGCTGGATATTGAAATGACTAGGATTCTAACGATTTTACATCCATTGATCTGTCACACAATAATTTTGAGGGAAAGATTCCTGAAATTCTTGGAAACTTCAAATCATTCATAGTGCTCAATCTTGCTCACAATAGCCTAACAGGTAATATTCCATCTTCATTGGGGAATTCAATTGCTCTTGAATCATTAGATCTCTCTTCAAACAAGCTTGGTGGAAGAATTCCTGTGCAATTGGTAAGTCTTACATTCCTCTCATTATTAAATCTTTCACATAATCAACTTTCGGGACCCATCCCTCAAGGCGGTCAATTTGAGACATTTCAAAGTGATTACTTCATCCGGAACAAAGGATTGTGTGGAAGGCCATTGCCAACGAAATGCAACAATGATCCGAGGCCGCAATTACCACCTGCATTTTCAGAAGGAGAAGATGATAATTCAAGTGAATTTGATTGGAAAATTGCGATGATGGGTTATGGAAGTGGGGTGGTGATTGGTTTGTCCATAGGATACATTGTATTCACAACGGGTAAACCTTGGTGGCTCGTAAGAATGGTTGAAGCCAGAGTACAAAAGATTGTTAGAAGAATTGGAAGGTAGAAGAAATCCATGAAAAAAAAAAAATGTAAGTATATTTCTTAGTCAGTATTGCGTGATTCCATAGAATTAATTAAATCATGTCTTTGAAACTATGATAATGTTTGTAATTGTTAGTTATCTTTAAGCTTATTGCAGTAATTTTTTTATTTTGTTTTTTTCAGCAGGTGATGTTTGGTTGAGACAGGAAGGCAACCAAGAACTTCTCGTCATGGTTTTATATTTGAGTTGATGTGTTTGTATGAGTATGTTTGTTGAGAATGTTGTTGGTTTCAATTCTCGAAATGTATTTTTTTTAATTTCGAAGTGTTAACTTTGTTGTAACAATAAATCCAGAATATATTGCTGTAAAATCTGAATTCTGCAAATGGAATAAAGTCTTCGTATGTTATGTGCATGTAACAGTACTTATTACAAAGAAAAAGTGATATTCATTGTGAAAATTTCTAAGTATGATGAATTCAGATTAAAAGTAGAAACAACAGTTTATGTAAATCTTTACTGATTGGAGAAGCAAAAGACTCAAAAATAGAGGACAATATACTTTAGTTTCCATGAGATAACTTTATAGAAGCAAGTATAAGCACAGTTCAGTATCAGCAGGGGAAGTTTCATAATTTTCTCTGTTTGTGTTCTTTTTATGTAAACTTTGCATTTACAATATATCACTGCCTCAAGCCAATAGTGTACAAAAGTTCATATGGAGCAGATTTTGGATTTCAACTAAACTTAGCTTTTGGAAGTTATTTGGGAGTCCTCTATGCTTCCATTATAGGCCAATTTAATGTCTTTTTAACTTAATAGATGTACGTTTCAGGTGAATGAAACTTAGCTTCGATGAATCCTGTACTTCGACTTGTAATTGCAGCAATTTCACCCTACTTACTCACTCTCACAAAAGCAAAACAAAGCATGCATTTCATCAACCCTAAAAGACCAAATTTGAATCATCTGGTTTTTTCTCAAGTTTATTCCTCATCTTCACTTCATTCCACCCTCCAATAAGTGCATAACATGAATTACCATTCATTTTCCACTTGCTCAAACTCATCTTTGATATTTCAAGACACGGTTCGACAACCCAAATAAATCCCTTTTTCTTTCTCTCTTCAACTATTTTCATCTCTTCTTCACTCGTTGGCATATTCTTCTCCAAGTTGATTCTTGCATGGTCTTCATCCGTTATGAATTTTGCTTTGAATTTTTTTTTTTTTTTTTTTTTTTTTTTTTTTTTTTTTTTTTTAATGGCATCGAAAGATGATTGTGATTCTTACTTAGATTACTAGCTTACAACCTTTTTCGTATAAGAAGTTGAAGTTCCTTGCTACCTAATTTCTTCAGTATAAACTCCTCCAATTCCTTATTCAATCTCTGAACACTTTTCTTCTTTTTCTTCAATGCATTTCAGAGATAATGTTCTTTTTACACCCTTTTTAGTTTTCTCTTTCTCTTCTCTCTCTACCATTTTCTTTAGGGTTAATAAATAAATAAATTCCCATTAGGTATAATTAAATATCAACAATCCCCTTGTAGGTTATAAAAATAACAAAAGAGCCCCTATTGTTTATTTTTGGTGTTAAAATAAAAGGCAGAGGGACAATTGAGTAATACCTATAAACTCTTTTCACAAACTTTCTCCCATAACTCTGATGTGACAATTCGTAATTAGTCAGTTGTCATGGGTTATATTTAATAAATTGTAATTGACCAATTATAAACTGTTACGTAGAATTATAAGAGAAAATTTGTGAGAAAAGAAAAAATTATGGGTGTAACATTTTATGGGACATTTAGGTAAAATATTTATTACCCTTTTATATCATAAATTTTAACCATGTACTAACGGCTAACTGGCTAAGTATCGACAATAGATTTTTTGTTATTTTTATTAAATCTCAAGGGGTTTAATATAGCAGCACCTAATTTTGCAGCCGCAAACAACGCTTCCAAGCGAGTAGAATTTGTAACCAGCTTGATTCCTCTTCTTTTGACTCTTCAACACTCAAAAATGTAAAACAATCGCCACCCAAAAAGATAATGATTGGTTTATCTTTTTGGGCCTTTAGCTGCCCTACTTAGAAAAGTCTCTGTGTTTTAAGTTCACTTTTATATTTTCTGTTTCAGAGTTGTATGCAAATGTGGGTCTTGTGGAACAGGAAAACTAGCTCTCAGGGAATGGGAAAAACATACGGGTTCCAAATTGAGAAATTGGCGGATTAGCGTTAGGGTGAGAGGTTCCATGCTACCACTAGGACAATGGGTTTGTACATCAATTCTTTATTTATTTCTAAATTCATTCACATTGATTATCACTTGGTCAAGTCATGTCTCTAGATGTTTGGAATGATCAATTATATGAATTTGAATTTATTGTGGATGGATAGATAGTTGCATAATCATTTCTGCGCTAAAAGATGATTGTTTCAATAGTGATTATTGATTTATGTAATAACGTTAGCTTTAGGTTCAAAGTTGCGGTATGATGTTATATAATATCGAAATATTTTTGACTGATAGTGTAGTTGTCAAAGTCTACATGTCGGAGGTATATTTATCATTTGAGGATAGTCTTTTGGTTAGACTCTTATAAAATATTGATCTATCAAGATCCCTGTCATGGACAGTGCTATCTTTTGACATGTATGGTATCTCCAGTTAAAAAATTATATATATTTGATTTCTCGTAAATCCATAATGTGTGTTTTGCATTAAGTATGGCCGTAATGCTATGGTGGTGGTGTAACGTGGTCTAGTGCTTTTGATTTGAATCGCCAAGAAGTCCTGAAAAAAGTACCAAACTTATTATTATTATTATTTTACATATAAAGGTTTTTAGGCGAATTCTTATCATTCTTGAAATAGTATCTATCTTTGAAGATCTGTGAAGCAAATCCATTATGGTGGTTACTGATCACAGAATGTAAAATAGGTTGAAAAACAACATGGTAAATACAGATATTGTAGTGTACATTATGTCCAAAGGGTGCTACTTGGTTATTAAATTTTGGAATTGCCTTTTGGAAGAGTTCTGTGGATGTTGCCAGAGAATGATCAACTAACAGATGATCTTAGGTCTCTGGTTGGTTAATTGGAAGTAAAAGGGAGTAGAAAATTCTTTAAGCTTTTCTGATAGGAGAGTAGAACTTGAAGTTGATTTTCTTTCTTTAGTCAATATCTAAATCAAGCAGTGGATGAATATCTGTTTTGATGGATGACATTATATTGTCAAGCAAAATCTACTAGTGGAAGACAATCCTAATAAAACATGCAGCTTCATTTAGTTTTCCCTAGTGTGTTGAAATAACTATTAACATGAAGTGCGGTTTATCCTTATGGCTATTACAGAACTTGTGTGGTATCATATTCATGTAGTGTGGTCATCCTTATTTTTATGATGAAACTTGTGTGGTGTCATTCATGAATGCTCAATTTTTTTCATCTTTATATGCTTAGCTAATTGCTTAGTCATATTCCATTTTTGAGTC